CCCCCCGCACTGTTTGTTTCGCTGCACATACTGTTTCTTGCTCTTCTGTCATTCCTTCTGCTAGATCGACATAGTGCAGCTCTCTCTCTACTATGAAGTATTGTCTTTCGCTGTGTGGAGCGAACCATGCTAACTTTTCGTCATTTTCCTGCCAGTGAATTCCCTTCCTTGTCAAACAACCCTCAGCTTGGCAATACAAGCCAGGCATCTATGTGGGCGGCACCACCAGCTGTGACCCGAGGCCTCGGAGGTCCCATACCGCGGAATTCCTCAAGCCCGCTCTCTGCCCAGCCGGTAGCCCAAGATGATATCTACACCTCTTCAGCCTCGTCCCGCGCGGGCGCTTTTAGGTACAGCAACCAAGGGAATGTGGGCCAAACAACACAAGCACAATCGGCGGACGACTTCCCTCCCCTCGGCCGCAATACTAACGGTGAGATCGGCGGAGAGCGTGGGGCCACATTGATGTCGTCTCTGGTGTTTGGTGCGCAAAATGCGCAGTCAGCCGCGGCTTCTGGCCCGGCAGGAAGCAGCAGAGCGGCAGGAAATGGCTTGCTCAACGCCCTCTCGGCAAACAACCGCTCCTCAGACGGCGCATCCCCGTCTGGTTCCAACGCCCCTGGCTCCGACAGGTCACCTGATGGCGAGAGAAAGACTAGCATGGGCGCGGGCTTGCCGGCGCCTACTGCCGGTAACGAGGGCGCATCGGCGACTCAAGATCCGCGGCATCTACATGGTGCCATTGGCCGAGAAACTGGCAAAGGGAAAGGACTGTCCACCAGTCAGGAACATGACGTACAAGACCCGTTGGCTGGAATGCCCCCGATCGACAAGTTTGGCATCAAGGGCTTGCGCACCATGATGAACAACTACCCTAGCTATGCCGCCCTGATCCAGGGAATGGACCCTAGCGAGCTTGGGTTGAACCTGAACTCTCCAGAGTATGTCCGGACGTGCCTTGTTTCCTGAGAGATGCATACATCGACTGACTTTTGACAAGGCTCATCTCGACACAAATATACTCTCTCTTCGACGACATTGCTCCCCGACCGGCCGTGCCCAATTTCCGGCTGCCGGACTGCTACCGGGTAAATAACGTCCAGCCGATAGAGACCAAGATCCAAAGCTTCAACGAAGAGACTTTGTTCTGGATCTTCTATAGCTGTCCGCAGGACATCAAGCAGCAACTCGCCGCCTTCGAATTGTTGGTGTTCACCCCCCTCTTGCATGAGAGGAAGCGATCACATGCGCTGACATGAGTTTGACAACAGGCATTCCCGGAACTGGCGGTGGCACAAGAAGCTACATATTTGGCTCACAAAAGACGATCTGATGACGCCGCAAACCATCAGCCCAACGCATGAGCAAGGTTACTACGTTATCTGGGATATCCGTAACTGGCGGAAAGAGCGGGTATGTCTGAATTCAAGCCCTCGAGAGTTTCGACCCTCTCGATCTTGTCATCTCTTTTGCTATTCTGGGTTGCATTCTGTCCACTGACGTTGTTCACAGAGAGAATTGACTCTCCACTATGAGGATCTCGAGACTTCTCTCGGACGGCCACCCGCGGCATAAGCTGACGGAAACTGTTGAGGAGATTCATTAGTCGCACCTGTGGCTTTATGAGACGTTGGAGAAGCTTTTTGCCTTTTGCCTCATTGGGATCCCGGTTCTGGCTCATTCAGGAGTTGCTATGACAATGATAGTGGCTACAAGGAATAGGCTTTGTCGCTTCAGGGTGAAGCTGACCTGGTCAGGGGTATAGGCACCGGCTAAGGGCAACACCCTTCTGGGTGGAGTTGTTAGGATTGATTCACTACCTGAATTGGCACTTCCTTCTGGTCGCTGCACGAAATTATCTGCAGACTTTGTTGCTCGGGTTGACTTGGATATTCCTTTGCAAATCGCTTTCAAGTGATGTTCGTATGAGTTACGTATACGCTGTACGTTGGAGGTACATTGGTATCCCAGAGACGATGAGTAATATTCGGTACCGCTATCTAATTAGGTAAGGTAAGGTACCTTATAATTCCCCCAGTAATGGTCTGTGCTCGCTCCATCGAGCAACCCACCATATCTCCGCCGGTCCGCCCGCTGTCATCAGGTAATTACCTACTCAACTCGCAAAACAACCAACGGAAGACAAACCGACCATTAAGCCGCGATGAACACAGAGATCTGGACCAACTGATATCGCTGCGGTCTCTACATTTCCGAGTATTTCTAGAAGAATAGCTTCTTACCTGCCGAAACGACCACCTGTCATTTACTAGGCGTCATCTCAGAGAGGTCTAACTGCCGTCGAGCAAACGGCTTACTCGGCCCACAAGTGGCCACCCTACGGCACTCCCGACCTCTCCTCCGACAACGGATCCATTCCTCTTTTCACCGTGCACCTACTAAGAGACGGAATTCGAAACTTCACTGAGGACGAAAGATACTCGAGTTGAGCATAACTAGGGACGACGCAGCGCAATGGCAAACCCAGACGCGAGCCAGCAAATATCCCTCCCTTACCTTTTCGTCATCGTTGTCCTGGCGGGCGCCATTCTCCGGTTCCTCTTCTTCTCTAGCAACCCGGCTCCTCCGCCGCGGACCAACCCGCTCCATGTCCTCCGCAACCGTGATGCTGCCGTCGAGCGCATCCAGCAGATGTTTCCGCAGGTCGACCGGCGGACCATCTTGTGGGACCTCCAGAGGAACGGCGGTAGCGTTCAGGCGACTACGGAAAGAATCCTAGCTGGGCGTTTGGAGACGGTAAAGCACAGCCCTTCCCTTCTTCCTTTTCCCCGTTTTGCCCTGTGTCCTTTCTACCCCTCTTCCCCACGTCGTGGTCGCCCCCCTTGTTCGCCGGGGGGCGGCTACACGGCTTGAAACTGCACGATTCGGAGCATCGGTAGACGGAACTGACTCGTTGTTTCTTTCTTGCACGGACAGCCTCCGATCACGTTCCAGCCGCCACCTCCCATCGGCGGGAACAACGGCCGCGCCGCGCCGACGTCGGCCCCGGCACCGAAACAGCCCGAGAAACCGTCCCGGCCCGACCTGATCACGCGGTACAGACTGCACGATAAGCTACAGGGCGTCGACGCGTCGGCGGATGACGACCGAACGGGCAAAGGATGGAGCGCCGACCGGGACGAGAGGCAGGCAGCCCTGAAGAGGAGGCGGGACGAGATGATTCTACAGGCGAGAAAGAAGATGGAGGCTAAGATTGCAGCCGAGAAGGCAGGGGCAGCGGGGAAGGCAATCTGAGAGACATGCGCAGATTGGTCTTGATCATGCAGCGATTTCACCAGCAATAGCAGTGTGCAAAAAGTCACATTTTTACGTGGGGGACAGCGAAATGGGGGAAGCGAAGGGCAGGATGGGGTGAGTTTCCTGCAGCATGCGGCTGGCTGGCTGGAACTAGCGAGACACGTGAGAATGGCCGCAGTGGTATCGGCGCAGCACAGGATTGGAGGTTGAATAATTGTCTAGACTATTGTGGGCAGCGCGCGCAGCTAAACATGATTTTCTCCTTCGGCTTTTGAAGTCCGAGGCCTGGATCGAACGTTGCCGTCGAACTACACAGTGTAGCAAGTCGTGTTGAATCTTGTCGTCCGGCGTGTAACTACGCTGCATCGCCGATAGCAGTTCATTGAGGCACTAGTTGACTGACCGACGGACCAGGCGACTTGCTTGCCTACACGATGAGGCATGCCTACCGAGTACCTATAGAGCAGCTTATCTTACACGTTTCTCGGTGAGGTAGCTGGACGATTAGTTTCCATCGCCGGGGGGGCACATCGTCGTACAATGCCGGGTTCTAGAAGGTAATACGTTCCATGTCACCTTGTCTTCGAGGGACTTGGTGTAACTGGACAAGGGAGGGTGCCTGGTGGAAGTGAACGACACTACGGATATGTAACTACTACGGATATGTAACTACTACGGATATGTAACTACTACGGATATAGTATCTGACCCGTCCGTATTCTGTATGAAGAAACCGAGGCAACGTTGGAGGATATGGATGATGACCTGGGCAAGCGCATTTTTCCCTTTTGCTAATGCTCGGCGTGGCAACAATGAAGAAGCGGCTTGACCGTCGGAAACAGCAGGATCTCGTGCTTCGTACCTTATTAGTCTGCATACCTTGTAGGGAATCGAATCCGTCGATACTACTTCGTAAGCCCAACGACTCGTGGGGCTCAAACTATGGCGTCATTGGCTACCTATAGTTCTCTTTGAACACTTTTCGACCAATGAGGAGCCGTCATGTCACCTTGTTCTAGTGTACGTCCTGATATCGTATCAGTCTTTCTGCCCCGCCGTCACCAGTAGTCACTTTCACATGCTACTCTATACGAGGGTTGAAGCCCCCCTCTGGGAGACCCTTGCTCCCGACTTTCTCTGTCACCGAGAGCCTCACTGGTTGGCTCACTCGCTCTCTTGAAAGTGAAGCCTCTACTTTACTTCTCTCCGTTTTCCCCACTTCCACCGCTGTTGATCTTTCGTGTGCATACTACTTTGCGTTCTTGAGCCTCCACTGCTGGACTTTGCCTGGCAGCATCAGTCTACCCCGCGCTATTATATTATTTGATGATTTCTATTCTTTTACTTCGCCCGCTCTGCATGGACCAGACCAGTTTTTGATCTCCTTTCATTCTGCGCTGTTGAAGGCTCGTCTCATAGGGCCTATTCACAACCTCGCCTGCCCATCTTCCCTGTCGGGAGCTGTCAACATGGCATCTTCGCTCCAACGGGCACCGGTCAGGGAGGACATACAACTAGAGCAACCTAAGCTGGCCTCGGCCGTGATTTCCATGTTGCCAACGGTACTACAGTCGCGACTCTCACCTTTGAGATCCGCACGCAGGATCCCCGGCATGGAAAGCTTCGAGTATAAGACGGGCATGCGTACCCCGCCACAATCCGAAAGTACGGGCCATACACCCTCGAGTTCCGTATCCGGGTTCGAAGACATGCCTCTGAGGTCGCCTGCAACTCTGGTTTCCCACACCCCAATTGATCAGATCAGTCTCGCCGGCACCGACTCGAGTCCACCGCCTGCCTATCCCCGTACGCCGTCTATGATCGAGGAGACTGTTGGCCAAAGTACCTTAGATCCGCCTTCGGGCATCCAATGGCGATATGCGCAGCAGGGTAAGACCGACTATTAATGGCTGTCCATCTTCAAGGAGAGAGAGAGAGAGAAAAGGGGGGG